CCCCAAAACCCCAAAACCCCAAAACCCCAAAACCCCAAAACCCCGTATAAAAGGCATAAAATTGAAACCATTTGACAAAAATTCATCATTCCTCAGCCTAGGACATTGATCTTTAATCCACTCTCCATTGGAGTCTAAGGCCAAGGGTCTCTGACAGCTCAAGTTGTTTTCCTAGGTTGATCCTACTTAGCCTTCGTTGTTTATGAACGCTAAAATATAAGGCTAAAAAACTTACTTGAGATCATTATGGTGGACACCTTCTCTTCTATAATCAATAACATTATGCTTAGGACTCTCAAATAGAGTATTTTGACGCTTCATTCTCTTAGGAGTTCTTGAGGCTAGTTTCCTTTCCATATCCACTGATGTAACTATCTGGTCTATTTTGCTCTTGTGCAGACTAGGAGAGTCTCCTTCTTCTTTAATCTTTTCAGTAGTACTTCGTTTAAATTTCGTCTTAAAAATATCTCCTGAGAGACCATGAGGCATACTTCTTTCTTTTTCTTGCATTGTAAAATCTCCAAAGTTGAGGTCATCCTGTTTAGGGATTTTATCTCTTTGGATTGGAGAAAATGAGCCAATTTTTCCACTTCTCTTATGAAAAAGATGTTTAGACTCTTCCTTAGAGTAAGAACTGAGGGATGCTTTATCTTCGTTCTCAACGTCTTCATGTATAACCTTTTTAGTTAAGCTCTCTTGGTTTTGAATATTCGATTTCCTCTTGAGGGACTTCGGAGTTCGGATATCACTCTCCTTTAGGAACTTGGACTTATTTTCGCCCAGATCTTTCTTCCTATCAAACTTATGAGGTAAGATTCGCTCAGAATGATGCTTCTGAAACATTATTTTCAACTTATTGAAGCTAGAGGACGGATCTACTTCAGAACTATTAGAGCCGTCTTTGATAAGGTTCTTGTGGAATTTATGAAATGCTAAATCTTCCTTAATAGATTCTTTTCCTTGGAAGGAAGATCTTCGAGAAGTGAGGTCAAACATTTTAGGTGAAAAATTTGTTCTTTTAACATCAGGAGGAGTTCCATAAATCCTTTCAAGGTCATTTTTCTGATCTTCTGGATTTTTCTCGTCATCCCAGATCTCATCTTTATATGCTTCTTCTATTTCTCTAGTTTCAGCCTGCCTCTTTTCAGCTTCTTTAATTATATCCTTAGCTACAGCTGGGTAATTCACTTTGATATTATCAAGATCATATTTTTTCAAAATAAGGATACTACAAAAAGTCTCAGCTTGGACATAAGCAGTCCTTCTGTTAGACTTTAAGAAGATGGCCATTTCTCCAAAATAGTAACCCTGAGTGAGGGTGTTTAGCACAGTTCTTTTATCAGCTGCCAAAATATACACAGAGCCTTCTGCGATAAAGTACATTTCTTCCCCGATATCGTCTTTTAGGATAATGAAATCTCCTGGAAGGTAAATTGTTTGTACAAGAGAAGTACTGATATCCTTTATCAAATTCTCAGAGCCAAATGACTTAAACATCGGCTCAAGCAAATGCCTTGTTGAGAAATATACCACTTCTCGGCTCAGTCGATAGGGTAATTGAGTTGAGAGGCTTTTAATAGAAAACATCTTTGTTGACTTATGCAAGTGCCAAGAATACGCAAAGTACTGCTCAACTTTAGATTTCTGCTTTTCATCTCCTCTGTTCTGATCAATCAGCTCTTTAATCATATGCATCTTCTTAAAAAATATTTCTGTTGACTTATTGTTTGATGCTTGCATAGAAATACCAGCGATAAGTCCAAAAGCTACAGCAAATATCAGATCTCCAGAGTTTATGAGTAAAGTTATAAATATTCTCTCAACATCAGTCATAGGGAACATGTCTCCATATCCAACTGTAGATACTACATTCATGATGGTGTAATAAGAGTACAGAACTTGTTTATATAGTGGCCCATCTTGAAGATTATTAAATTCCATCCAAGAATCGTCCCTATCCAAATTAATGTAAAGATTTGTGAAGAACCATGCACAAGATGTCCAGTGCCATATGATACACAAGAATAGAAGAGCTTTTATTATGTTCATGAATAGTCCTAACTTTTTGAAGAATAGCTCAAATCTTCCAAATATATTCAGTATTTTCCAAACAGAGATTAATCTTACTCATTTCAATGGAGTTATTAGCCAAACCGGTTGGACAACATCTGTTATTGCAAGAACAAATGATAGAGGCCAAAGAGCAAATAAGTCAAGGATCAGTCCATTATTGTAATAATATGAAAGCACAATCTTAAATTTCAAAGTTTTTCCTCCTCTCAAATGAACAGGGTTCCGAAAATTCAAAAATATAATGATTAATGTGAATAGTAGTGAAAGAATCTCCAATAGAGCAGTGTACCAGGACATCTTGATATCAAAACTGATTAGCAAAGGAATTGATACAGCAACGTATAGAAGATTAATAAGGTTCAAAAAGTCGATAATCCTTCCTAAAGTCGAGTTTTTATCAAACTTAAATTTTTCTAGGCACCCTTTCTTCTTTTCTTCTTGCTCAAATAAATTAGAAGGTGTCATAATATTTGTGCTACTCCTTTTACTATCTTTCCTTCTTGCTGCTCATTTAAAAGATATTTCTTGTTGTTTGATAATGATATCATATTCTTGAATTTCTTCAGAGTCTAGACTGATGGCTCTACATTTCTTCAATACGCTATTGTATACTTCATAAGTGCTATAACAGTAATGATTCGAGACAGTTTTGATCACATTTTCAGCATTATAGTCAAGATTATTAGATTTCAAGTATTTCCTGCAGAACTTAGTAATATAATCTGCAAAATTTGTATTCAAATCTCTTAATGTTTCTTTAAATCTTGGAAAAGCAATATAAAGATCATATAGTTTCGAACGGTTTAGAATTCCGACTTTACTGATTCCTTTTGACACAATATGGAATGGTCTCTTGTAATCAAAAGTATTCTCATTGTCATCATCAAGATCATTTGAATAGTGCCCACCTGTTTTCATGTATCCAATAAATTCCTCATTAAGGCCAATAATAATTGCTTCTCCTTCTAATAAAAAGTAAGTATTCATTGAAGAAGAGCCTCCAATAACGATAAAGTCTCCATCCATATATATTCTGTATTCCAAAAAAGTCATCACTGAGTTAGTCAGAGCATTGTCAACTTCTCCATTGTCGTCTTTAAAAATGATGGATTTATTTGCTGCCTCTGCATTAAGATAGTCCATTAAAATTTCATCTTGACTAACTCCACCACTATTAGCCCAGATGTAGTCATAATAATCTTTGATTTTTGAAATTAATGGCATTGGCACAGCTTCTTTATTTAAAGAGTTCATTACATCCTCAAATTGCTTATGCAGTTTGAAAAAGGGCATCTGGGAAGCAAATTCAGTCATAATAGAAGCAATGTTACCAAACAAGAATGCATAAATGAAAGTCCCTCAGAGGATCACAAAAGCATTATAAATCCTTTCACGATAGTTGATAGTTGTTATTTCTCCAATAGCTAAATGTGAGACTGTGTTCACTGTAAATTCAAGAGCATGTACATAGATGGTAGTATCTGATAATCCATCAAAACTATTCTCAAGCCTCATTCCTTCAGGCTGAGGAACAGTGAGTCTTCTCAGCCAGGTTTCCCTAATATCATCTTGTCTGTAAGCAATGTTGATAAAAGAACAAGCAATTATATGTCATGCGGCATAGTAGAGAAAGAGCATTTCTATAATCCTTCCAAAATTAAGGACCTTTTGCTTGATTGCTTCGAAAACCTTCAAAATGGGATATAACTTCACAAGTCTAAGACATTTTATCATTTTTTTTCATTATTGAAACAATATTTTTGGAGTACTGCAAACCTCTCTTGTACAATTGCTCAAAATTTTAAGCAAAATAGCTATAAATAAAAAATAATGAGGAGAGGTTCATCCAAATCACAGAACTGGAAAATGATTGTCAAAGGCATAATAGACACAATAGAGAGAAAGATCCTAAACCTTATCATTTTTAAGGACTTCTTCATTGCATTGAAGTCCTGGATATGTCTATCAGATTCTTCTATATTATTCTCTTGATCATGTATCTCTATTTTAAGCTCTTTATGCTTTAAGAAAAGCATGTAAATTTCAAATGAATACACTATGATAGTGAATATTTCCATGACGATCAGAGCTGGTGAGTATTCAATCCTGTAAGCACCTTGGAGAGGAATAAATATGAGATTGTACAGCACAAAAAGGAGTACAATTACTTCAAATAATCTGGTCCAAGAAACATATTGCAATATTTCTCTAATGAATCTAAACTTTCCAATTGAAATTTTTACTTCTGTCTCTCCTTCAAGTTTATTTTTCTTTCTCTCAAGACTAGATTCTGATCCTTTTGAGCATTTCTTGGAGTCAGCATCAGATTGATGGCTTTCTTCATCCCCATCATCATAAATTCTTGGGTTAGCGATAACCTTCCCATCCGGAATATTTGGATTCTCTTGAATAACAAGAGGAGCTTGAGACTCATCTACTTGATCATTATTATTCTTTGAGTTCTCTTCATTATCTAAGAGTTGATTAACTTGGCTATTTTATTCGCTCAATATGAACTCTGTCCTCACTTCTAAAGCTAGATTTCTTAGATTTTGAGACCGAAGGTGCATCAAAGACACTAAGTCTTTCTCTCTTTATGACATTATGACCGTCAGCATCAGAAACTTCGTAGGCACTTTGTCTACTTCCCTTATTTGATGTTCTAGATTTATTCCTAAATAAATTATTGGATGAATGCATTAAAGTCTTGGTTTTCTTGATGGATGATGGGGAACCTTCTTTTAAGTTCTCCGTCTTCTTCTTTAGATCTTCTTTTCTCTTAGAAACTTCTTCCTGAATTTTTGATTTGAATATAGGATAAAACTCACAAAGAATATTGAAGTTTTTAATAGATAAACTTCCAACAGAACAAGATGTAATTCATCTAGCTGAAGCAGCTCGAGTAGTAGGCTTTCCTTCAGCCAAGGCCATTTCTCCAAAATGAGCGCCTTGTTCCAGAACTGCGAGGGTAACTCCTGATTTAATAACTTCAACTTTTCCTCTGATAATGAAATACATTCAGTCGGCTATCTCTCCATCTTTGATTACATATTCTCCATTAGAGAGTAAATGAAGGTCTAATCTCCAAATAAGAGCTGCTATGGCTGAAGTATCATCTTTAGGGAATAGAGTGATATTCCTGATTAAATCTTTAAACAGGTTATCCTTTATCTGCTTCTCTATGCTCTCTGGGAGATCATTCAAGACTTGGCTTTCTGTAACACCTTTGAAGTTATTACCAAGAATTTCATGATAATTGTAAACTCTCTTCTTCATATCAAAAGATAGAGCATTTAATTCAGGATTTTTACCAATAGTACTCTTCACTTTTAGTCGGCTTGAATAGGCTGAATTTACTGATGAAAGATAAGCTGCTGCCTCTGCATAAAGGAAAGCAAGATATATCCTAGCTGTGAACATTGCTCCAAAAGTAAATATCTGCTCGAGTGGCGTAAGAGGAATCATATCTCCATACATTACAGCTCCCATTGTTCAAGCAGAAAGATAAAAGAAATGCACATACTGCTCAAAGATAGACATTTCAACAACAGGCTGAAGGATGAGAAAGTCTCTATCCAAAGTATTCTTAAAAAGGGACTGGCCGTCATACCTATTTTCCCCTCCATCTTCATGTCTTCCAATATAAAAATAGATTCATCCCATAAGATGACTAATAATCACAAACAGAATTGACAGTAAAAATAGGGTAAATAAGGCAATTTTTACATTGGAGTGTTTTCTCCAAATCTTGATATAATCAAAAGGTTTGTACAGTTTAAGTATCCTAAGTATTCTTACCCATGCTACAGTTTGCTGATTAACACCAAAGATCATCAGAATATAGTCCAATGGGAACACTGCCAGGATGTCAAAGAAAATTCTTGTGTCCATATAATCGATTGCTATTTCTTTTAAATCTACAGAAATTTCAAACTTTTTATTAAGCGCTGTCTTCATAGTGATAAAGATGTCAAAAGCTAGTATTATCTGAAAAATCACATCGATTGGGATTAACCATGCATCAAAATGATACTCATATGAAATAGAGAATGGGACAATAAATAAGACATATGCTCACGCAGTAATGGTCATGATAGCCCATATATAAAAGAGCAGAGAGAAAGGGATAACTATGAACTTGTCAAGAATAGGATAATGTTTAGTCACATTCCAAGGTAATTTTACATCTTTCCTCTTTTTATAATTCTTAATTTGCATTGAGAGGTTTGCCATAGACTGTATTTTAGAAAATTTACTTTCTTCATCAAGCTTTATCTCGTTATTTATGTCCTCAAGTAATGATTGGTTTGCAAGGAGGTTGTTTATTTCAGCTTCTTCGTCATCCTTTAAATCCTCAGGGTTAGTTGTTTGGAGTCTCTGTCTCCCTACAGATTTCAAGAACGCTTTCTGCTCAGGGAATCTTTCTAAAATTTTTAATATCCCATCTTTATCAATCATGAAAAATATTCACAGAGTTTTTGCTCTTACGCTTACAGTTCTTACACCAGTCAGCAGAAGCCCTATCTCTCCAAAGTAAGACCCTTCTGTAAGGTATGCAATAATGGTCTGATTATCTGTTGCAAGAATTTCAACCACTCCCTTCTTAATAAACAGCATTTCTTCAGCAATATTCCCAAGTTCAAGTACAAAATCATTAGCCATTCATATTTTAGGCATCATGGCTCTTGCCACTGAGAGAATAAACATTGGATGACTAAACTGAAACATTTTAACACTCTTGATCAAGTTCGAGTTCAAGAATCATGATAACTCTGTAGATAAGGAAGTAGGTAGCTCTTTTAAATTAGAATATCTATCATATATGTCTCCATAATTTATACTCAACTCATTGTAGTAATACCTTATTTTCATCATAATGATCTCAGGGAGGTTAAGCTCATTTCCAAAGTTCTTCGCTTGATCGTGCTTCTTCATTTTCTCAATAGTTTTTGCATTTCTATTGTTCATGGTAACAATAAAGTTCGCGAAAAAGTTAGCATAAATACTTGCTCCTGTTACCATTATGAAAATAATCACAAATATTTCAAGATCAGTAGTTGGTACAACATTTCCATACCCGAGTCCAGTCATTGTAGCTACAGTGAAGAAGCAAGCTTCAATGTATTGTTGAACGTTTCGAGGATTTTGGTCGAAATTGTCCATCTTCTGCCAATTATCCTCATCTGGATCAAGCCTCCCAACAATCAGCCATATTCAGCCAATTATATGAGTGGCTAAAAATAGTGAATATGCTGCAACAAAGAAGCTAGAGGATCCTGATCTAGATTTTTCAGCTCTTGAATAATTTGAAAAGATTTTGTTAACTTCTCTTATCCTTATGATTTTAGGAATTCTCATACATGCTACCCAGAAAGAACTTTGCACTGCAAGATTACTTGTGGATCAGGACACCAAAAACATAAACGGAAATGAGCTAATAACAGTCAGAATAAATCCTAATTTTGATGAAAATGCGAAATAATCATGAAGAAGCCACATTGACTCCCAAACTTCAAAAGTAAAAGATTTTATCAAAAACCTTAATGCTATATCAATGATCAAAATAAACTCAAAGAAGTTCTGTAAGCCTAACATTACGTCCTGAGGGAAATCAGGAATTCCAAGGTAATAAAATAAGACTACCAAATTGTATGTATGGGCTATGAATAAAATAAATGCCCACACAAGTTGGAATTTGTTGGTTAAAAGGGACCTACTAAGGAAGGAATTCAAATCTTCCTTATCCCTATTCTCGTCAACTGCGATATAATCTAACTCTCCCTTTTCTTCTCGCTTATCTGGATGTAGTATCTGGTTTTTCACTCGTGACAATACTGAAAGATTACTCTTTTGTTCATTAAATATATTTTGCTTAAGTAAAATATCTGCATTACTTGGCCTCCGAATAGGTAACCTTCCTTCTGGTCCGGCTTTGATTTCAAAATTATTTATTCAAATTCTTTGAGTTTTTCCTAGACCCAAGATATTTCGACCCTCTTGATTGCCTCTTATTTGTTAAGTATTGAGACTTCAAAATACTCCTTCTGACCTTTGACTTCCTATATCTCGGTTTGTCTTGTGCATCCCTAATATGAAATTCCTTTTCTTCTTCTGATGAATCTGAAGAGTAATCCTGAGAAGAAGATGAGATTTCATCCATAGACCTCAAAATAGGATTCTTTTCCTCTTCAATTTCTATTTCTGGGAATGGGTCACTATCGTCATTAGCAGCTTTCTGCAGCTGGATGGCTTCAGAAGCTGCTTCAAAGTGGAGAAACTTCTTTCTTCTCTCACCTGGTTCCATTTTATTTATTGATAATTCCATAAAGAAATTAGTTTGAGGGGTTTTGGGGTTTTGGGGTTTTGGGGTTTTGGGG